ATCAATCAGTTCTTTTTGGAATGGAGTGATCATAGGCCTCATTGCTCTGAGCTTATGCATCTCAATTTTTTAGTCTGTATTGCCAAAATTATCCATAAATAATTATTTTTTTTCCACCCAACTGGGGTGCATAAGCTGAGATCAATGAGGCCTACAATCAATCAGTTCCAAAAAGAAATGCAAATCTGTGGTAATTGAAAGAAATCAAGTTGACAAAAAGATTGAATCCAATGTCATAATGTTGGCTACCACGTCTAATCCATGAACTGAAAGAAAGCAAATGTTTTGGTAGTAGTCTGGCACTTACAATGGAAGTAAACAGGGTCATGCAATAAATATTAAAATATACAAAAATTAAACATCCTGTTAATGTCAGACTAGTGTGATAAAATCAATTGCAATCCTTGTCTTTGCAAAGTTATACCACAATACATCCATTTGTGTTGTAAAGCCAGAATTTTTCCACCGGTTTCATCCACACAGTGAAAGTCAGTAGGTTCCATAATAAAATTGGACCCCAGTGACTTTCATTGTATGGACAAAAATAAATTTTCAAAAGAAAAAGTCATGTAGGTTTTGAAATATCATTAGGGTGAATAAATAATGTATTTTCTTTCACTTACATGGTCCTTTTTTACTTCAATTGATAGTGCCTTACTTGACTGTAAAAAATTTTTTATATAAATATATATTATTCTCTTTGATAATTGACATTAAGCCGCAAATACTGACAATAACCCAGAACATTCCTGTACTTTAGGTTCAGAAGTGCAGATAAAAAAGAAATGTACCGGTCGTGATACTAGATAAATGTTTTTGACCACAAAAAATGTAGTTAATTAAACTTACTCGATAGTAATCTGAGCTGTAGATGTCTCTGGACATCCCGAAGTCTCCAATTTTCACGAGCAGGCCGTTACCCACGAGGCAGTTGCGGGTGGCCAGGTCACGGTGCACAAAATGCTGGGAGGACAGGTAGACCATGCCTGCCGCTATCTGTGTAGCGATATGAAACATCTGCGAGAGACCAAGTTCCCCATTAGACTGCATCGGTTGGCCATCAACAAGGATCATGGCGTCTGGACCATGGGCTCTGAAACGTGGGGAGAAAGGCATGTTGGTTACACTTGTTAGTCTTGGCAGTAATTGTCCTTCACTGCTGAGCTTCGTCCAGGTTTGCAATTACTTGTGTTTGGGATCCGAGCAGGGAAAATTGATTATGGATCAATGTAAAAGGGCACAGGGTCGAAGTGTTCAAACACACTGCCTTATTGCCCCATAAAATAATTCCCCCTCTAATCCTTTAATCCTGTAAAGCTGTCTAATTTGAAGTGAGTAAGTCAAGGCAAAGAAAGATGTGCTTTGACTTTAACTGCCTGGTGAAATAAAATCACCTATTCAGTTAACTTTTTCGATTTTCCCTTCACTCGGGGAAAATAATTTTTGTCTGATTGCGGCAGCATTTGCATAAGGTGGCTGTTCAAAAGGGCTCGACTGTAATTTGTGTATCTCTTCTGGTCAGTGCCTCTTCAGCAGCGTGCTCTTCAACTGTATGTTGAAGAGCTAACAATCCCAGCAGCAAACCAGCAGCTGGTTTCGAAAAAAACACAAACAAACAAAGAAAAAAACATTCATTTTCATAATCTGAAGAGAGATCAGTTACCATAGAAATGTGAATCCCACCAAATGTGCACAGCAATCTCCCTACATTCCCAGAAAAAAACTTGTATGTTGTCTATGTATTTGAATAGAGTGCACTGTGCAGTAAACTTAAAAGATATTACGATTTATATGTACACTACCGTTCAAAAGTTTGGGGTCAGTTAGATTTTTTTTTTTTTTTATGTTTTTAAAAAAAAGTGTTTTATGGTCATGAAGGCTGCATTTATTTGATCAAAAATACAGTAAAATCTGTAATATTGTGAACTATTATTACAATTCATAATAACTGTTTTCGGTTTTAATATATTTTAAAATGTAATTTATTCCTGTGATGTGAAGCTGAATTTTCAGCATCAGTACTCCAGTCTTCAGTGTCACATAATCCTTCAGAAATCATTCTAATATGCTGATTAGGTGCTCAAGACACATTTTTATTATTATCAATGTTGTAAACAGTTGTGCTGCTTAATATTTTTGTGGAAACTGTGAGACCTTTTTTTTTCAGAATTTATTTTAAATATCATTTTTGTCTTTACTGTCACTTTTGATTAATGCATCCTTGCTGAAAAAGTATTATAATGTAAATAAATCTAACTTAATAAAAATTATACTGACCCCAAACTTTTGAACTAGTGTATAATCAACAACTTAGTCCTTGCTTTTATAATGTATCATCATTTATGATTCAATTACAGGTGCATCTCAATAAATTAGAATGTCGTGGAAAAGTTAATTTATTTCAGTAATTCAAATCAAATTGTGAAACTCGT